TTGTTCGTGGTCGTCGCCTTTCTCTTTCTATTCGACATTCTTCACCTGAAATTTCATGTATGGTTGTTAACATATTCACGGGACCATTATCCATCCAGAATACAACTAATACATCATCTACAACGGCACCAAAAAGAGTATCCCATTCTATTTTTTTCGATTTTTTAATTTTTAAAAAAGCAGGAAATTTCAAGATATTACTCCGTACTGTTTCACAACCGCCATACCCATTTTTTCACATATAACTAAACAGATTGATGCTTGTAAAAAAATTATCCATGTAGATATCGAACGCCTTGCCTTTCGGAAGTTGAGATATTAGATGATATACCTGCGAACCGACCTTATTAACATTCGGAATTGGATTAATTTCTAAATTAGGTTCAATATGGGAGGTAAAAATAAAGCAGTATGTATATCCTGAATCACATAACAAAAGTATTTTAAATCCTTCTGGCGTGGGCTTATTTTTAATTCGTACTGTATGACTGCTTCTTCCTTTAAATCTAGCAATCATTTTGTCAACTGAAACCTGTGATTTTGGTAAGTAAATCGACTTTGAAACTTCCTGAATATGCGTAGCTAAAGGATATATCATCATTACTTAAAAAAGGAAAACATACAAAGTTAACAAGATATTTTGAACTTTGTAAAAAAATCCTTCAAATAAATTAATTCAAAGTTTGAGATATATAGATGTGCCAAAATATTATACTTGGAATAAAAATAATAATTAGCAAAAAAGAAAAATAGATAGTGAAAAAGTAATTTCTTGAATGTATTTTGTTAATTCAAAAGATAAAGGGAGATTTTACTTAAGAGCTTTATTAAATTTTATAAAAGATGCTAAAAGATTTGAAGATATATGGACTATAGAAGGAACAAAATATAATACTTACAAAGAAGCAGCAGCATATATGGGGTTAGTGGATGATGATGATGAATATAATTACTGCTTAGAAGAAGCAGCTTATTTTAAAATACCCTATCAACTAAGACAATTATTTGCCTCAATAATTATTTATTGTCAACCAGCAAATTTAAAAGATCTTTGAGATAATTATGTTGATGATTTAATTGATGATTTTATTTATCAAGATTCCAGAGAATTAGCTATAACAAAAACATTGGTGTTTATAGAAAAATATTTAATCCAAAATGGATTAAATCTTTTAAATTTTCCAGAACTACCATCTTCTAATTATTCTTTATTAGATAATGACCAAGAAAATTCATTAATTGCAGATGAACAAAATTATAATTAAAGTAAAATTGATCAAACTTTAAATAATTTACCAAATTTAAATAGTGATCAAAAAAGAATATTTGATACTATTATAGATGCAATTAATGGAACAATAAATCAAAAATTATTTTTTGTTGATGGTTCAGGAGGAACTGGAAAAACATTTTTATATAATATGATCTTGGCTCATATAAGATCAATAAGTGGTATAAATAGAATTGCAATTGCTATAGCATCATCAGAAATTGCTGCATTATTAATAAATAGTAGAAGAACTGCTCATTCAAAATTTAAAATTCTATTAAAATTAACTAAAACAACCACTTTAAATATTATAAAGCAATCTGAATTAGCTGAATCAATTAAGATTGCTAAAGTAATTTTATGGGATGAAATACCAATGATAAATAGATTTGCATTTAAGACTGTTGACAGATCCTTTAGAGATATAATGGATATTTTTTTTTTTTAAATATCTAAGTGACCTCATGGTCAGCATTTTTATTAGTTTTTGTACTAAGCTAATCAAGTTAGCCGCTACTCATTAGGTACATGATTTTGGAGGATACAACTAGTCACACATACAACTTTTGATTGCCTATTTAAGTAGTCTGCTTATTACTAAATTCTACACTAGATATCATACTTGCAACCCAACTAGAGAGTTACCTATTTAAACTCTTTGTGCTACCATATCCTTCTGAGGAACCAATACCTGCTATAGGAGATATCCCAACCTAGGGCTAATTTACCCTCGAGGTAAACTTGCTAGAGCCTTCCTTACCCACAATCCAGCTGACCTAGTCTTCAGTAACTTATGCCGAGTCCAAGAACAAGCACTTGCAAGCGGAAGCCGCTACCATTACCTACTTCTGCCCTTGTAGAGTTCACCCAAATCCCAGTACTCATTTACAGACTATTAGATGTACTCACTGAATTCCAAACTACCAATCCAGATGGCCTGGGTGCAACTTTCATCTGAAAGTTACCAGTTTTCTGATATTTGCAATTAAGCAGATCCTTTTCCTCTAGTTCTGGCAGCCTGGTTGATGAAAGTGTCTTCTCAAACACTTTATTCATTCAGTTTTCCCGGTTTGACCTGGCTAGTCCGAACTACTAATCCAGATAGCACAGGAGAGACTTTTACCTGATAGTTACTGATCTCCTGGTACCCGCAAATTAAGCAGGTCCTTTTTCTCTGGCCCTGGCAGCCTGGTTGGTGGAATGCCTTGCCATATATCTTGGTCCCGTTCAGTTTTCTGATTTTTCCTAATAATACCTTTTTAAATAGTACCGTCGAAAGTTTGTGCTACCTCTCTACTTGGGTCTTGCCAAGTGGATATCCATCTCTCCAGTTACATAGTTTCACACAGTTTATCATAATCTGATAATCCTTCCAGAAATCTGGTACAACCTTGGTTACAAATCCTAAATCTAACAGATCGACAAGAGACAGTAACTGTACCACAACAGAATATATTTTCGTGTTCATGGGACAAATAATCATCTAACTCGCGATTGTTTTTATATAGGAAATTTATTTCTTTTTGCATATTTTCGAGAAATTCATCAATGGTGTATTTTACTTCTTTATAGAATATATAATCATTCAATTCGACAACTGCATCTGAATTTTTGGTGTTAATAGTGTTATTAAATAAATCAGATGAGTCATTCATTTTTGTTTTTCACAAGGATTGATTTATATCTTCTATAACTGAAGAAGAGTTATCATTATGTCACAAATTTATAAGGTTCTCATTTGGGGTTGGCAAAATAGCTTTATAAAATCGAATAGAGTATATTTTTGCTCTTTTTTTAATTTTATCTTCAAAAGATTTGTTCTGCTGTGAACTTTGTGAAATAGATGACTAAAATAATTTATCGAATCTATTATTCTTGTCAAAGCAGGACTGGGAAAATGATGACAAGTATGCATTATAGAATTCAAATAAATATTCTGAAATTTAATAATATCACTAATCTGGTTTTGATGTTTATATAATGTTGGGATAAAGAAGAATAAATTAAAATACAATTCTATGGTGAAAATTGGAACTTGGGATTTATTTGTAAAATTTCCAACTTTAAATTGGGCAATGCGATTATTATGTGTAAAATCCTTATGAATTTTTTTATAAGGATTAAATTTGAACTTAAATAAATACGCAATTATTAGTTCTAAGCGATGAATAAACATAAACATCGAATCAGTAAAGATTCAGTTTCTAGTTAAATCAAAAATTTTTTTGGAGATATTAAGCAAAAAAAAAACTGAAAGCCTATTATTATTAGAAATTGCAGGCTTAAATTTATTGACGTTGTTATCGTTATTGATAATTTTTCAAAATAATAATGCGATAGCAACATTTATAATGGAAAGAATAAATAAATTTGGAATAAATATTAAAATAAGTACTGCAATAAATATTGCAATGGTTGATAAAAGAATCAATATAAGTGAAACAAACGAGTAAAGAATCCCTTTAGCGATTCTTTGTATAAGATTCAGAGTTAAATAATATTCTGATAACATTTTGATTAAAATTGATTAGAAGCGGAATGTTTTCATGTTCCTTTTAATACAGTTTGTCGTAAATGAGCTTGTTCAAATAAGGAGATATTTATGCTATCTTTGCCGTGGTTATTCGTATTACCTATTTTACAAAACATTAAAATGAAACTCCGTGTTCTGTATGATATACAGATAAATATATAGTGCTGATCTGTTATGCAATTACTGTATACGCGTTAAAACATATCAGATGTTATAATTTTTAATTTTTCAGCCTAAAAGTACAGTATACAGTAAAAATGCTACGTACACAACAATCAATCATATTTCAAGAAAGATGTATCGTAAACAGAAATTTGTCTACAATGTGTTAATATTCTCACTCTTTGCGCGCTATTGCAAAAGGGTTTCGCTTTTTGAATTGTGGACTTGTAATAATATCCTAATTGTTTTATTGATTATTGAAGTTTTTGTCATATTTATTATTTTGTTGTTAGTATAATTTTACTTCTCTAATTTATACGTATAAGTTATAACTGATTTTTATTAATTATTTATAGAATCAAAAAGTCGAAGCACTCATATTTATATACTGAGCCTTACGAGCCAATTGTGCATGTTCTTTTGAGGTCAACCAAACTGAACCTTGGCATATGTTAGCAGTACAAACTATAAGAGATTTTTTTCTGCAATACAGCAATAATGGCTGGAAGTTTGCATACCTTGGTAGTGAATAGAACACATGTATTGTTATTTTTTAAAATAGACCTGAATTTTTTTTTCTATCGTCCACGTTAATAAATACAATTTTTTTTGTGTTGCAAAAAAGGGGGATGGCTAAAGCGGAGCAGATTCTTATAATATATTTTATTGAATTAACTTTAGGGTTAAAGTCATCCTAGGTTAGGGTTAGGTAGGTTTTAAGTAATTAAATATATGCAAAATTGCCTTCCTAACATTTTTACTTAACCTGCCCAAGGTAGGTTTAGACTGCCGTTTTTTGTATTTTGCAGGGTTTTCACTTTTGCTTCGCCGAATATCATCAAAATTCTATAATCTAATTGGTCGGATGTCATGTGATTCTGCTCCGCTTTAGCCGACCCCAAAAAGGTAACCTAGAAATCAGCGTCATATGATTTGTGCTACAGAAATATGCTGCGGCTATGGCATTACAGAACATATATAAATAATTTTTTTGTTTATGGAGATCATTGATCATCATCTTTTCTTATTACCACTATGAGTGATGATAGTGGTGAAGCAATCAAACAAAACAAAAAGCAAATAGAGATTTTTAAGTCACGAATAAACGGTATAGCTCCCTTAGTTTACCCTTCATATTCTCCAATTACTCCTGCGGCTACTCTTATGACTACTCCTGTTGTAAGTGAAACTTCTGAAACCGACAAATGGAAAAAATTTTTCAATAAGTTCCATCAAAAAAAAAGGCAATTACAGATTGATATTGAATGGGAAGAGTTTTCGAGTAGATGCGACTATTCAATTATGATTTATGAGAAAATGAAAAATGAAGAATATGAATCTGATATTAATAAAAAGACTAATAGTTTGATTAAAGATTCTGTTCCGAATGCTGAACGTAATGAAGTTTTTCGTAAGAAAAAATTTCATAAAACAATGTTAAATTTGATAAAAACTGCTGAAGAAAGGCAGGTACTACTGGAATTTTGCCGTAATCATCTTATCGGTTTGGGCTTCACGGTTAATTCTTTTTGTGAAGGCACAGATAAGGACATTAAATCTATTATCGACTTATTTGTTGAAAAATGTGCTGGGAAATACAACAATTGTAAGTAAACATAGATATGTATTCATTTGTAGAAAGTATCTATCTGTAATAATTTTATTTCTTTTAGTGAAATTTGATTAATAATTGTATTTTCACAAAAAAATTTTTAGTAATAATGTTTTATTAAGGTTTTCTTTAATTATGCTGTATATATAAATTATATTGAATTCCTATGCAAAAATATTTTTTTTATTATGCTTTAGTCCTATGCTGCTTCTGATGTAAAATTTTAAGCTTGAAGAGCTTGAAGTTCAAATTAAACAAAGTTACAATCAAAAGTAAATTATCTTAATTGCGATCATTAAAATGAAATCCGTCCAAGCCACAATTAGTCAAGTGCTTTATTACTTCGTTATAATCTTGGCAAAAAATAGCTAGGAATGTTAGTAATAATATCCTGCTCTGTTGAAAAATGTCATGAATTGAGACATATTGCAGTGGATCAGGGTATTAT